CCACGGGTTGAATTGAGGAAGGAGCGTTGCGACCGGCGACGGCCTCCTTTCTCCTTTTTCTTTATTTTTTTAAGCCGTTTCTAGCGTGGCTGCTCTGGCTCTGAGTCAGGGGTTTGGGTGAGCAGGAACCGGTGCACCTCTGCTTCCCCGTGGACTCTCGCCGGGCCGGGCCACGGGAGCCCGCGCGCTCTAGCTCGAGACCGGGTGGGGGCGGGGCGGGACCGGACCGGGCTCGCCCACCCCACGCCTTTTTAATCTATCACGCTCCTTTGCAGAGTTTTTCCAAGGTTTCCATCCTATCAGAACGCCAGAACTTGGTCACGAGTCGGGCTTTCATTATTTTCACGGGGTTAAGGCTACCATTTAATCACTGGTGGAGACCGCCAAATAAAAGGAGCCAGGCATGGTGGCGCACGCCTTTTAGTCCCATCTGCCTCAGGGAGGCTCGAAGGCAGGAGACTCACCTGAGCGTTGTGTAGATAAAATATTTGGAGTGTGGCTCCGTACTAGATCACTTACTGGCTCAGTCTCCTTGAGTACCCCAAAACAAAAACATGCACTTTGTGCAGCTTTAAGGGTGGTCTGTTGTAAATGAATCCAAACTTAAGATACACTTGGGAATAACATTTCTTCTGTTTGCATTTTGAAACAGAAACCAAGGTGTATGTCGGTAACCTGGGCACCGGTGCTGGTAAAGGAGAATTAGAAAGGGCATTCAGTTACTATGGGCCCTTAAGGACTGTATGGATCGCCAGAAACCCTCCAGGGTTTGCCTTTGTGGAATTTGAAGATCCTAGAGATGCAGAAGATGCAGTTCGTGGATTGGATGGGAAGTGAGTGCGTTTAAAATATTCCTGTGGACTAGATCGAAGTCTTGTTAATCATAGATTGCTCTGATCGGGTTGCGGGGGTGGGGGGGGTGCTGACCCTGAGCTCACCATAAAGCTCAGTTAGTGTATGGAGCGATCCTGAATCAGCCTCTCTGGTGCTGGTGTTACAGGCACCTGATAATTTTAAGATAGCTTTGTAAACAGACCTTGTAGGGGGAATGAGTAGTTTGTTGGTAGATTTCTTTTAGAAATCGTGTGGATATTTTAATTTTAGTGTTTTCTTGTTGCAGGGTGATTTGTGGTTCTCGAGTGAGAGTTGAATTATCGACGGGCATGCCTCGGAGATCTCGTTTTGATAGGCCACCTGCCCGACGTCCCTTTGATCCTAATGATAGATGCTATGAGTGTGGTGAAAAGGGACATTATGCTTATGACTGTCATCGCTATAGCCGTCGAAGAAGAAGCAGGTATTTAGTTAAAAAAGGAATGGTTGGTATTCTAGTTAATCAAAGTAATTCTTTTATTAGCAAGGCAGAAAACTAGTGTTTTTCTATAAACTTGAATGTTAATTGTACAGGTGTATTTTACAATTTTTGTTTAATTAAAAATGTTAATATATTAATAATCAACCTGGTCAAAACCTTTCAGGTTTCTTCGTTTGAGTCAGTCGCCTTGATTCAGAATGTCACGAGCCTTATGATATCATGCTGAGGCGCCTTGCAAATCCGACAATTAAGATCCTCCTAGACCTTGAGGTGATCAGCATAAGAGGCCAGATCCCCTCGAGTCATCTACACCTAGCTTCACCTTATTCTTTAAAGGGCAGAAAATTTGAGTCGGTGATCGCCGTAACAGTAAATTTGGCTTACAATTGGGGCCCCCTCCGCTTTAGAAAGAGGAACACCAGATTGACCACATTCCCACCTAGAAAAATCTTCTTGCGTCAATCAAGCCTCACCTGGCTCTTTTGGCTGTCAGTTTGATCGTCGTTAGATTGAAGAAAACATCTAGATGCAGCGATCGGCTATAGATACTTCTAGATCGTCTAGATCTACTAGACCTACTACTAGACCATGGGCCAAAGAGGGTCGACCTGCAAACTTGCAAGGTTTATTTTAAATACACATTATGGTGTTTTATATTTTGTAATTCTAAGTTGTAATTCAGCTTTTAACAAATCTTTTTTTAGGTAGTAAAAAAAAAAAAAAGCTTATAGGCCCAGAGTTTTTCCAAATGAGATACTAAATTTTAAATAGTTTTTGAGATTTGATTTCAGCAGAGGTACACAAACACTAAAACTGAGTTATCGTCTAATATTTTGTATTTTTCTAACTTGAAAAATAGGTCACGATCTAGATCACATTCCCGATCCAGGGGAAGGCGATACTCTCGCTCACGAAGCAGGAGCCGGGGAAGAAGGTGAGAAATACTTTAAAATTCGAGGGTTTTTTTGTTTGTAGATTTTTTTTTTTTTCTTTTGGTTTGTCAAGACAGGGTTTCTCTGTGTAGCTTTGGAGCCTATCCTGGCACTCAGTCTGGAGACTAGGCTGGCCTCGAACTCACAGAGATCTGCCTGCCTCTCTGCCTCCCCAGTGCTGTGATTAAAGGCGTGTGTCAGTAACGCCTGGCTTGTTTGTAGATTTTTTGAGATGGGGCTGGCCTTATGAGATCCTCCTGCCTCTGCCTCCTGAGTGCTGTGGGGGAAAAAATAACATATAACATATGTCACCACCACCTAGCTAAAATTCAAGTTTTAACAACTGGGGAAAGAAGATGGACTTAGAATGTCTTAATTTTTAGGTCAAGATCAGCATCCCCTCGAAGATCAAGGTCTGTGTCTCTTCGTAGATCAAGATCAGCTTCACTAAGAAGATCTAGGTCTGGTTCTATAAAAGGATCGAGGTATTTCCAGTATGTAACACATTTTTCCTGCTTACTTGTAAATGAATTGTCACGTCTTAATGACACAGTGAAGTACTTTAATTGAATGAGATACTTCAGAATATTTGAGATGTGAAGATTAAGTGTGGTGAGATATTCCTGTAGTCCTAGCATTTAGACTGAGACTACTGTTACTTGGGCCAGTATTTGAGGACAGATGGGAAGCATATGAGGTTCACACCTCACCTCAGAACAGAGTTAAAAAACTAAATTATTCCAGTGAATAACCTGGGTAGGCATGATGCTAGCTGGCTGAAGAAATGTTTGGCTACAAAGCTTGCCATCAAGCCTGGAACCCATGTGGAGGGAAGAGAATCAATTCCCACAAGTTGCTCTCTTGAGTTCTGGAAGGTTATGGCATTCACCTACTCAAACATACTTTCAGTAAAGAAAATGTAAGATTTTTTGTGTAAGTATTTTTGTGGTTACATAATTTGAGACTCCTTTTGAGTGCTGGGATTAAATGTAATTAAACCTTACATTTGGATATATTTCATAAAAAATTTGTACTAGAAGAAGCAGTTATATATAAAAGCCACTGGCCTTTATTGCTGTTTAACAAAACTGTTAACAGTTTGAGAAAATTATTGTACCATTTCTGTATCAACACATAAAATCTCAAGGTTTTCAAAAGATATATATAGTCAACGTAACTTGGTTTGACAAATAAAGGACCCTTCAACTGAGATAAAATAAAAGTCAAGTCATAGCTGTTTTCTCAGATGGAACCACCTAGTATTAATCTTGGTTATTAGTGTTTGAAAATGGGACAGTTGTACCTGCACGGTAGTGACCAATACCAATTGGGCATGACAGAGCAGATATTTGAAAGAGTGCTTGGTTCTTTTTTGTATTTGAAATCTGATCATTTGCACTGCATTGGATTGTTTTAAGTCAAGAGTCATGCAGCAGTTGTCTTAGCTCCTCTGTCCTATACTTGAGTCCTGGAAAGGTACTCAAGATATAAAGGAATTCTTGTGTAATTGTGTCCCTTTTCATTTTTAAGATCGCGTTCCAGGTCGAGATCGAGATCCAGGTCTATTTCACGGCCAAGAAGCAGGTAGGGTTAAAAAAAAATCTGATTTAGTGCTCCTGATTATATAGCACCAATATCCAAAGAGTTCAAAGTGTTGTAAATTACTGAAACTTGGGTGTTAGCCCAAAGCTTGACTGTTACTTAGAAATAACGCAAATGAAAACTTCATTTATACATGGCCTACTACTCGGAGCTGTATTCAAATTAATATTACATGACTTAATATTACTTTGGAGGTCAAGAGGCCTTAAAAATTACAGGTGCATAGGGAAACCATTCTGAGAAATGTACATTATAACAGAATGTAAAAAATGAACTCATGAAAACTGGGTCATTTTAAGATGTCCTTTCTAAAGGAAATGTGATAGGCACTGAAATTTTAGTTGCAATGAGATTTTTCGAGACAGGATCTCTAACATTCCTGGAACTCACTGAGATCCACCTGCCTCTACCTCCCAGGTGCTGGGATTTAAAGCATGTACCACCACTGCCCAGCTGTAATAATGGTATTTTAATTATAATTTGGGGGTTTGTTTTATGGTAGGACTATGATTCGTTAGTGCCTTTTCTTACTAGAATTTTTCATGTTTTGACAGCCGATCAAAATCCAGATCTCCATCTCCTAAAAGAAGGTAAGCCAGAATGTTTTGTTGCCAAACCTTAAAATTTGGCCTCTTGAGAGATCTTAACTGCCTACTTAGTGGTCTTTGAGCTCTTTGGAGAATTGGTGCTGTATAGATTGGGTATTAAGATTTTTAAATGATGGCTTTTTATTCTGTATTAGTTAAAACTAGTTGGAAATAAGCATTAAGTGTTGGAGAAATTTAAGGTATTTTGGTTTTTTGGGGTTTTTTTTTGTCCTTAGTTGTAGGAATTTTACACTTAAGAAACAGGGTTTTGCCAGGCAGTGGAGGGAGATGCTAGCCTGGTATACAAAGCTAGTTTCAGGACAGGCTCCAAAGTACACAGAGAAACCCTGTCTGAAATACTAAAAATTTAAAAAAAAAAAAAAGAAAGAAAGAAAAGACATGTTTTCTTGTGTATAGTAGCTGAAAAGGAAATGTCCACATAATGCAAAAACATGTCTTAATAATTGCAAATTGAAACCTTTCAAATAAATTACTCCTGTCTAATGCCCCTTAATGACCATCTCCCAAACTTCACATAGTTGTCCTATTTAACCTTGTGATTTTGACTGATTGGTTCTTAAAAGCCTAATACTGGGACTGGAGAGGTGTTTAAGATCTCTAGTACAATTCCTAACACCCATGTCAAGTAGAGATCAGATACCTCTGGCCTCTTCAAGCACTTGAATTCTTGTGCACATAACCCACACAGGTAATTAAATAATCTTTAAGAATTAATACCAAGCAAGGTAAAGGGGAGAAAATACATAAATTTATGTTAGGCCTTTGGCCATAGGAATTTGATCCCTTTGAATGTATTGAAACACTGAATTGTTCATTGCACAAGAAGAGGAAGGTTCATTAAACTAATTGGTTCCAAACTTAATGTTTTTTCTTTTCAGTCGTTCCCCATCAGGAAGTCCACGAAGAAGTGCAAGTCCTGAAAGAATGGACTGAAGTTCTCAAATTCACCCTTTAGGGAAATGTTTTGTTTACATTATTATAAGGGATTTGTTATGTCTGTAAAATGTAACCTAGGAAGGATCATCAACCATCTAATCAAAATGGATCTGGGTTATTATATTGCTCTGTAAAATTCACAGCAGTTAAATATGTTTTTGTTGAATGTAATAACATCTTATGGTCTGAAAATGTGGGTTTTTATTTGGCACATTTAAATAAAATGTTTCTAACTAGATTTTTTGTGTTCAATATTAATAACTTTGCAATTTGGTAACATCAGGTGTCAAAATGTTATTGACTATATATTGGCCTGTACAAAGTTTAATGGTGTTGGTTAAGTATTAATATCATTAACTGTTATATCCATAATACTGGCCAGGATCTTAAAGGACTTTTAAATTCCATTTTACCCTTGTACCTTTGGGTTAAATGATTGTGAGTCCCGTTAATAGCATGAATGAATGCATCATGGCAGATCCCTAACTGAGAATTGGTGTTAACTAGAATTCAAGCTAACAATCTCAAATTGTCAAGCTAGAGGGACCACTGATTTAGCCTATAAATGGGTGCATGACAGGAACTTGGCATAAATGTCACATTAAGTAGAAAGAAAGATTTCTAGAGGCAGATCTTAGTAGCTGTGTTTTTTTTTTTTTTTAGACTATTAAGTTGGTGGTTTTTGCTCAATGTACTTTTTTTTTTCTTTCAAACAGCCAACTTAATACCAAAAATGCATGTTTGAAGAATTGTCTGAATTTGGAACAAAACCTTGTAAACCAGCTTTGCAAAATTATTCAGCCCTCTGTTCCTTTGAATAGATTGCCTTATCCTGTGCAAAAAAACCTGTTAATATCTGAACTAGATTTTGCAGTTTCTGACAACATTGTTCTATTTTGCCAAGCTGGTATAAAGAGATGTTAAGAAAAAATGTTAATGAGACAAAGCAGTTTTGTAGACCTGTTTAGCAGCATTTCATGTAGCTTTTGTTTTGGGTTTTTTGTTTTTAATAGTATCTGGTAGACCTTAGAATGGTATAGGTTCTTATTCAGACTTTATGTATACTAAACATTGGGGCCGTAACAGTTATTTTCGAGTTTTTTTGTTTGTGTTTTTTTTTTTTTTTCCAAACTTATTGTTGTATTTCTTAGCCTTGATGTAAAAGCAAGTAGCACAGGAGTCTGTTCTTGTCCATTTTAGGCTTTTTCAACAGAGTTGTCTAATGGTATTGCAACTTCAATACTGGTCTGCCTCAACCTTATTGGCTGATCACTAGTATGATGGAAGTCATTTGGATTCTTTGGTTTTAGAATTTGATTGAATACATGGTTGGTATGAAGCTATGTGTGTAACGGCAGTCTTATCTGTTGCACTTGGTTAGCTTTAATTCTGTATTCAATGAAAATTAAGTTTGTTCAACAATAAATCTGCAGAGATTGAACAAATAATCCTGATACTCAGTTTTTGAAACTATGGTATCTGAGCCAAAAGATTAGTAGTATTCTAGATATACTGAAGGGATGGGGTGGAGTAAATTATCCCAGTAAACAGTTTTCCTGCCTTTCCAAAGTACTGGTTCTGTAGGCCAGTATGCTCAGTGCAGTTCCAGGCAGTGCAATGAATACAAGTTTTAGTTTGTGACCACCCACTACTGAACTGGAAAAGTGGTAGTCCTATCTCATTCACTTTTCTCCTTAACACTGACCATAGTTCAGTAGCTCGGGCCCTGTTTTGAAAGTTAGTAACTAATTTTAGCCTTTGGGGAATAATGGTGCCCAGATTAGGAGTCAGCCCCAATGTCATTATTGTAGGCAGTAAGTTGGGGACCAGGCATAGTGAAAATGTATATTGGGAGGCTGGGCCTGGAGGATCTTGAGATGGAGTCTAACCTGCCTCCCCTTTCCCACCAGTTAGGGTTTCATTGAGTAGCTCTGGCTGTCCTTTAATTCAAGAGATCCACCTGCCTCTGCCTTCCCCAGTGCTGAGATGAAAAGGTTTGTGTCACCACTGCCTGAGACTTTATCCTTGGATATAGAATAAGGGATGCACAGAGCTCTCCCATCAGACTTTACATAAGTTTTCTTTAAATTCCATGTATTTTATGTGCATTGGTGTTTTGCCTGCATGTATATCTGTGAGGGTGTAGGATCCCCTGGAATTGTAGTTACAGTTGTGAGCTGCCATGATCATTGGGAATTGAACCTAGGTCCTTTGGAAATAGCAGCCAGTGGTCTTAACCACTGAGCCATCTCTCCCACCCCTCAAAGAGTATTTCAATAAATACTAGACTTGGCTGTGGAGTATTTGGAGGGTAAAGATGGGAAAAACCCAAAATAAAATGACTAATGACTAGGTTTATAGTAGCTTAGTATAAAAACATCTAAATACAGAACCATGGGGTTTGAGAAAGCTCAGCACTGGCTGTTCTTCCAGAAGTTCTGAGTTCAATTCCCAACCACATGATGGTTCACAACTATCCATAATGAGATCTGGTGCCCTCTAATGGCCTGCAGTCATATATGCAGAAAGAATACTGTATGCATAATTTAAAAAAATACAGAACTGTTTTGTGGGTGGGATAGCATTCTCTTCCAGGCTGCCCTGGAATTTGTAATTCTGCCTCAGCTGGATTTAACAAGGCTAACTCAGAACTGGTCTTTTGAGACAAGCAAGGCATTGTATATCCCTTGTGGCCTTGAATTAGTGGTAGTCCTGCCTTAGCTTCCTGAATATTGGGATTATAAACCTGTAACCATGCCTGGCTCAGGTCTGTATTGGGATGGGAGGGGTTGAAATATAGGATCTCATTGTGTAACCCAGGCTGATAACTCAGAGACCCCCCCCCAAAAAAAAAAAAAATTCAGAGACCCACTTGCCTGTGCCTTATGAGTACTAGGTGTTTGCCACAACACCTGTCAGCCTTGTCAAACTGACCTGGAACTCTGACTCCCTGCTTTCCCCCATTTTACTTTTTTGAGACATTTTTATAATCCCTGCTTTTCATAGGCTGATCTTGAACACCCTGAGTGCTGGGATTACAAGCACCTGCCACCATTACTGCCTGGCTTCAGAGCTTTTATTGGCTTGTTTCAAACAGGGTTTCTCTGTGTAACAGCCCTGGCTGTCCTGGAACTAGCTCTAATGACCAGGCTACTTTTGCTATCTCCTGAGTGTTGGGATTAAAGGCTTGGGGCCGCCAGGCCTGGCAAGAGCCTTTAATTTAAAAATGAAAGAACAGCAGGCGGGTTGAATACTTGGAGAAAGTTACTTTAACTGGAATAGACTTGAGTCAGATATAAACTCAGCAGAATGTGAGGTTTTTATACTTGGTCAGTTTACTGAAATTAAGTTACTGGAGGAAATTGATCACAACAAAATTTCTATTACCCCATCTCTCTGGGTTCAAAAATGGTACTTTATTCTGGTTTATTCATCTGATAGGCGATTAGGACATTTAAATTCTTGTGGTTTTGAACCCTCTTTTAAATTCTAGGCCGGGCTTAAGTAATCTTGCTGCTGCCTTTGACTTGAATAGTTGGGACAACAGATGCACCAAATCCCAGCAATATTGTTTTCTTATTACCTAGTATTAAGCATTTTAAACTTTACACTACCCACCCTTTTTTGTGACTTGATAACTCATTTCCTTTTTAATGCTGAGTAATAATTGGATATTCTACCAGTTCCATTTGCCTGCTGGAGGATGTCTTTGTTAACTTAAGCCAGTTTAGGTAATTGAGAATAAAGCTACTCTCTACCACCATTAAAGTGTTTTTGTTTTGTTTTGTTTTGTTTTTAAGACATTTAAATCTAGCACCTTTTGGGTAAATAGCAAGGAGCATGATTGGGCTTGCTTTTGGATGTGAAAGTGAACTGTCACCCAGTTGAACTCCAGCAGTAATATGGCTGATCTCATCTGGCTGAATGGATAATCTCTTCCTCCTATACACCATGTATGTCTCTTTCAAAGCTGCCTTTACCCAGTAAAGGAAGACCTTTTTCATTTCCAGTCAAGAGAACTAAACATGCTCCCCTACTAGATCTTCAATAGTTTACATGAATCTCAATATGTTTACATGAAACTGCCAACTTTTCAAGAGACATCCCTGACAGTAAATTGCTCTAGTTGCTATTCCTCCTCATTCCTTGTCAGTATTCTGGATTTTGGCCAGTAAAGGTGTATTCTGGTGACCAGCATGTGCTCTGGAGCATCTGTGTGTTCAGCATTTTCTTTGGTGGAAAGATAAGGGGCTTTTTTTTTTTTTAATGTGTATGAGTGTTGGCATGTATGTAAGTATACCATGTGTGTATAGTAAGTACCCATAGAGAGAGTTCAGAAGAGGGCATTGGTGAACTGGAGCTGCCAGTTGGTGATTGAAAGCCACAGTGTGGGTGCTGGGAACTGAAATCAGGTCATCAGTAAGAGTTAACTGTAAGCCATCTCTCCAGTACCTCTTTTTGTTTGTGTTTGAAACAAAAGTCTCACAATATAGCCCTCACTGGCCTGGAGTTTGTTAGTATACAAGGCTAGCCTTAAACTTGGATTGATTCACCTGCCTGGGATTAAAGGTGTGTACCACCAAGCCTGATGTGGCCAATTTTATTTTGATGAAATTGGGTTTTTTTTTGTTTGAGACAGGGTCTCTACACAGCCCTGAGTGTCCTGAAACTGTAAACCAGGCTGGCCTCAAGTTCAGAAATCTGCCTGCCTCTGCCTCCTGTGCTGGGATTAGAGGCTTCTGCACCACACCTGGCTTTTCTAGAGGGTTTTGGAGGAGAGTAGTAACGGGAATCTAGTTCCCTACTGATGGACTTCAGTGATTTATAATTACTATTGCCACGTTTAAGTGAATGTAGTTACCCGTCTTTGCTTGGGTAAACATGCATGCATGCCCAGGATAATATCTAAGTTTCTAGGTCAAAGAGTATGCATACATTTTTACTTTTGGTGAGTGGTGTTTTTCCTTGTGGCAATGTGTAGGTAGGCATGCCTGAGTCTCCATGCTGCCTCTTTGGTAGGCTTTTAGACTTAAGATTTTTACAAATTTTGTTTTGAAAACTAGTATCACAGTGTGTTTGTTTTTTTTTTTTTTTTGAATTGACATATTTTAGACAAAACAATAGGCTTAGAACATTTTCATAAAAGTGCTTTAATTTCCTTAGTTTCAATATAATTGAAATTTACCAGTGGAACTCTTTTTTTTTTTTTTTAAGTGCATTGTTTTGCCCATATGTCTGTGTGTGGGTGTCAGATATTGGGGTTACAATTATGAGTTGCCATGTATGTGCTGGGATTTGAACCCAGGTCCTGTGGAAGTACAGCCAGTGCTCTTCACCACTGAGCCATATCTCCAACCCCCAATTAGTTCAATTGTCTGCATATAAGCCACTAAAAGACACATTGTAACAACAGACATCATTTTGGGGTGTGTGTGTGTGGTTTTTCAAGACAGGGTTGCTCTGTGTAACAGTCCTGGCTGTCCTGGAACTCAGTTTGTAGACCAGGCTGGCCTCAAACTCTGAGATCCATCTGCCTCTGCCTCCCAAGTAAGTGCTCACGGTCTGTATTTTATTTCATTGTATATATATTGATTAATACTTAGATACCTGAGTGAAAATGTTAATGGGGGAAATGAATAAACTTGAATTCTAATTTTTATAATCGAAGCATCTGAAATTGAAACTTAATCACTATATTAAAAGCATTTCTTTTGTTTGAGGTGCCTATGAGACTGACTTTGTCTCCTTAGGCTGCATTTAATATCTATTTTGTAATTCTAGCACAAGATTCTTATGGTGGGGGAGGGGCTGGAGAGATGCCTTATCGGTTAAGAGCACTGACTGTTCTTCCAGAGAGCCCAGGTTTGACTCCCAGCACCCATATAGTGGCTCATAACCATAACTAGAGTTACAACTCTAGTCTCAGGGGATCTGATGGCCTCTGTGGGCATTGCATACACACAGTACAAATGCATACTATGCACATAGTACACAAAAGATCAGGGCTAACCCTGAATTCTGGTCTTGAAAGTACCACTCAGAAAGCATCTGGGAAATTGTTATGCATAAGGTTTGAGCAGAAAGTTTACAGAGCTGGTAAACCAGGTGAGAGCCTGGCCTAAAGTTAAGTGGCTGGCCTCAAAGAGCTCCCATTTCATGACTGTCAGCTACCTCGTATTCTGCAGGAGGCCCTTGGTTGTGCTTCACAACTCTGCTAATAATGTATCTTTTTTAAAAAGATTTATTATGTATGCTTATGGTTGCTGGGAATTGAACTCAGGATCTCTGGAATAGCAGCCAGTACTCTTAACTACTGAGCCATCTCTCCAGCCCCAATAATGTATCTTTTAAGATATAAATAAATCTAGCCCGGTGTTGGTGGCGCACGCCTTTAATCCTAGCACTCGGGAGGCAGAGGCAGGCGGATCTCTGTGAATTGGAGACCAGC